GAGAAAACTAAATTGACCAAAATACCCTCGAAACGTTTCAGAGGTATTTTGGTCAATTTATTTTCTGCAAAAAAATTTTTTTATGTTTTTAGATTCTCCTATTTTTGAATAATACACACCTAAAATTTCAAATCATTTGGATTTGTAAAAAAAAACATTAAAATTAAAATACGAAATGAGGTCGTGACCGTCAGATCGGCCTAGATTCAATCTGGGCCGTTGGGCTCATTTGAACACATATGTTCATATGAGCTAGTGGGCTAATCTCAGCATTTTTTTATATATATATATATATATATATATATATATCTATATGTATTATACATTTAGCCAAGTAAAGCCAAACATAGCTAAAAATCTATTATAGATTCATTATTTTGCATTGTAAATTATAGTACATAGCCATAAACTAGTTGTGAGTCTTGGTAGATTGTTAAGGTGTCCACCCACATCTCACAGCCATTTCTAGACTGATAATAATGGCTTCGTACTCAACCTCATTATTGAAATAGGCCTTCTCAAGGGGGAGAGTGAAAGGAAGCATCTCTCTATTAGGAGTTATGAGGAGGATCCTTGCACCCCCTCGTGACCCCATTGAAGTACATTTGCCATGGCGGGGGTACCTCTTAGACAGGGATCTCTTCATTCAAAGGTAATGCAGTAGTGCGCTGGAAGTATGTCTGCAAATACCTGTCCCTCACTGTGAAGTTGAGGGCAAGACATGTCTGTTCTATAGGGGTACAATTGTGCTCACTCCCAATCATCATCCTGCTGTGATAGTACACTGCTGTCTCCTTGCATTCATTATTTTGTTACATTAGCAGTGCCCCCAAAGAACTCTTTAGGACAACCTCGTGCAGTAAGTGGCCACCCCTTGATGATATATGACAACACCTGTAGGTGTAGCAAAAATCCTAAAAAAAACCCTAAAACTAAGATTTAAATATGCATCATTTGAAAGTGAATAAAAGTTAAAGATAAGAACAATTTGTCTTGCATCATTCTCCCCTAGTTGGAGAAAAATCTTCCTCGAGTTTTGGAGTAGGTTAAGATGAATTTTGCATTAGTTCAACAATCTTATTTAACCCAAACACTATGCTTCAAAACTTGGACTTGTGGTTTATTGGCTCAATCAAATGAAACAATTATGCATTGAAGCTGGGGCTTTGAAATCAATTGATATAGTCATAAGCACTTTTGAGAAACCTTTAAGGGTCAGTTTAGAGAACTTGCTGAAATTGTATTAGTTCAGCCATATGACCTTACTGAAATTGCTTAGGCTAAACCTTAAAGCATATCATAGGTGCATCTTTGAGATGAGCATTGGATTCAATGACTGAACCAACACTTTACCTATTGATTCTCCTTGGAGTGCATCTTTTTCTTCGTTAAAGATCATTTCATCTAGGAAATCTTGTTCATAATCGTAGATCGGACCCCCTTCAAGATCTTGTTCTTCATTTAAGTATGTATCAAGATTGGTGGCAAATCCCAATCTACAACCTACTGATTTTGGATACAACCCCCCGTCAAAATCAGGAACATCAACCTTAATGTCGAAAACCTTGATGCCTCCCGTATCTAGGCCTTTTGTCATTGTCCTCATTACTCAACTCCACACATAGAATGCAATGGTGAAAAGGGTTATAATCAAGATCTTCTAAGGCAGAAAGATCACCATCTTGCCCATGATAGATATTCATAAACTCCTGCGTCAACTGCTGAATTTGAGTGACAATGACCCAGGAGTGAGCTGGGAGGGTCATTGTCCCTCATTCCAAATATGACTTAATCATGCTAACATCTATTTGGTGTCCCATACACACGATTTGTACAGCTCTATACTATTGATACTAGTCTTTTATTCTTAAAGAAAATCTATTAATTGTCTATACATGAATGCTTTTCAGGGATGGGACATTATACTTTGGTATAGGACCACATGAAATATTTTATCATAAGGGTCATCAGTCAATCAATGGGTGGGATGGTGATGGAGAAAGAGTGGCACACACAAATGCGAATAATTGACTCGCTTGGTGGGCCTCACTCGCCATTCCTATGTAACCATTGATTGGACAGAAATGACCCTTATAACCGTATTTAATGTTGTCATATTGCAGTGTACTTTATGTTTTTGGATTGACCTCAACTAATTCAAATGTTGTTCACTGTTTGTTAGTCTGCCTGTGCGAGAGTTTACTTATAAAAAGCACCTGGAGTGGGTTTTAAGTACCCGTGGCATCTATATGTTTGGAAAAAGAAAATAAAAAAGGGAGTTATTATCTTTGAACTCCCCAAGTGTTATCTTTTTATTGATAATTTAAACTTTCAGGGGAGTGTTGTATTTGGGAAAGGAGTATTGTGCAGTTGCAGCATGCAAGATTCCTGCATTGATGTACTTATCATTGAAATAGAAGGTTCCCACATCACTGTACATATCAATGAAAATAAAAGTTCCTATGCCTACAATACACTTGTTGAAGTGAGTATGGAGTTAAATTTATTTGAATTGACTGGTAGAAGTGTTGCTTTGTGAGGATGCGGTCGTTCTGTTAGTCCTGATATTTCCAATTGATTCATAAACTGGTAATTTTGGGTTTTTCAATAGATCGTTAGTGGAAATTTGCCTCCATATTCTGCAGAGTAATCCTACTCTAATTCTATCTTTTGGATTTTATGCTACAATGTTTTTTGGATTTGAAGTTCTCATCACTGGTGTTATGGGCATTACTATCATATAACAATGTATCTCTTTTTCTTTTCTTTTTTCTTTTTTCTTTTTTTTTTCTTTTTCTTTTCTTTCGAGAGATGAAGGAAGAAGTTTAGTTGATGAATCTGCATAAGTTTGTGAACCTTACTTCTGATCTTCTGTCATTCCAACGTACTGGCTGACTATGACCCAATATTCTACCTGTGGCTCCTTTGACATGTCGCCTGTGAAGCACTTTCTTTGAACAATCCTTGGGTTCTGATGCTTTTTCATAGGCCACCTTTTTCTTTGTGTCTACATTCATTTATTTTGAGCAGGTCCATTGATTTGGGGCTCAACCCTACTCTCTCCTAACCTGAAGGCATGGGAACTCATTGTCGACAGGCCCCCATTTTTTTAGTATTTTTCTCTTGTATCCTCGTTGCTTTATTGATTAGTAAAAGTAGAAGACTTTTCACAACAAAAATCTTCGCATTTTGTCAGTTCATTCCCTCTCTCTTCTGATTTTGGTTGCCTCGTTTTTGATAAATGCAGGAGGATTATCAGAAGGTGGTGAATATAGTATGGCACTTGTTTCTAAAGAAACTGTGGACAAATATGCAGTCCTAGTTGCCTTACTTTCATCATTGTATGGTGGAGTTAGCTATTGCTTGGTACGGGCAGGAGCAAAGGCATCTGAACAACCTATGTATAATCTCTAGGACTTTGATTACCTTTGGTATCAAATTTGTTTATGTATGAATTGCATGCCAACCTATCAAGTTTTCCACTCACTTTTTCTCGTTGTGGATATTCCTTAGTGAAAGTTTTTCATGATTGAATATATTGTATCACTTTCTCAGAAAGTACTGTTCCAGGTGAGTTTTAAGTCTAAAGCAGTTGATGCCATCATAAGAGGCAATGAGGCCTAAATGCTTCCCTATCCCATCCACTGTTTATAAGATATAGAAGGGAGGAAGGGATAAAGACTCCTTGTTCCAAAAGTTTGGAGGAGCATATCAGGGAAGGAACAAAGCATATCTTGTCAAATATGGTTCTGTATGGGGAAGTAAAATTATGCCTTCTTACAGGAGCATAAACATGATGCGAAATACTCCACCCTTTATCTGAAATGCCTGTAGAAGTTTGTCTCTAGTTGGTATAGTATATGCATAATCCTCTCCTTGAAAACACGAGCTCAAGTATACGCTTGTTAAAGTGTCGTGACATGGGAATTGTTTCTCCTTGAAAACACGAGCTCAAATCTACTCTGGAATAGTATTTTCTAATCAAATAATAGAAGACTTAAGATTTAGACATAAAATAAAATGCATTCATTCGCTCACTATTTCAGATTCTAGGCCTTTCTTGACAAATAAACTCACTACTTAAACCTCTATATTATGCTTGATTCACTCTATCCAGGAAAGTGTCCCAAGATGCACACATGGGCTTCTACTTCTTTCTTTTCGTGCAGCTTGAATTCCTTTGTATTATTCCACTACTTTATTTCAATTGTGCCTTGGTCTTTTTGTAGATCACTTTTTAAGCCGAATACAGTACTAAAGCTTAATTGTGTGCTTTTATCGTAGGGTTCTCATGATGGATCATTTATGGTTTTTGTGTTGCATAAAGTTGAATTAGACGCTATCCATCTTATGTACTTGTGGGGACATCAAGGTGGGACCAGGTCCCACAGTGGACCTAGCCATGGTGTTTGTGAAACTCAAGACAGTCTTACTTCCTCCTTGTCATCTATGTAAATTATTCTTGTCTCTCTTGGGTAGGCTAGAGGTGGCATTTGAACCTGGGGTGTGATGCTGCAATTGTTGGCCCCCTGACCAGTCAAGCCCTGTGCCTTGTCTCACTCTACATCGTATTCTCTCTACTCCATTCTTTTACTTATATTTGTACTAACTACTAACCAATATTTGACATAAAGGTGGCGAAGAAACTCAGAGTCCATGTATGCCACCTAGAATTTGATTTCTTTTCATTCATGTGGCATTACCAAAAATAGAGGTTCATACTTTTGATGGAAGGGTTCTTCTCCGATTTGTCGTACAAACGCCTATGAACAACTACAGGAAACTTTCTAGATCATTGGTTTCAAAACATAATATCGAGGTAGTATGTGCAGAAATGTCCTTAGCCATACAGGAAATGACTTCTATGTGCTAGTGATCAGAGATGCTGCCTAGGGCCCTAGCCATGCTACACTAGTTAGTAGCCATCATTCTCAGTAGCTGCAGCAACCCAAAAATTACATCTGAGCAGCATGTCATGATGGGACCCACTTTTTGGCCCCTACTTGATGGATATCCATTTTATGAGAGTGTTTTTTTGGGTAGATCAGTGGGAAATACAGTCCCTTACCCTTTTTTAGAAATAATTAGCGGTTTTCAAATGCGTCGGTGGGAATGGAAACCTGGACCGGTAGCTGAGGCTCAAGTGGTGCTACCACCACGACCTGAACCCCATTTTCTGAGAAATTTCCATGCATATATGGTACATGATAAACAAGTGAGGGCTCTTCGCAAAATTCACTCCCATTAATAAATTGACAGCAATTTCAATTGATTCCCAGAATGCTCTACAACTCGAAGAAGTCCCCTAGGAAATATATAAACCAAATTACATTATTGGCAAATCTAGAAGCTTCGTAGGGCCGGCCCTCTAGATAATCTGAAAAAAGTCACTGGATTGTTCTTAGTATAAATTTATTAAAATCACGGATTTTTTATGCTTCTCATATAGAACTTTCTAAAATGCCGATAGTCATGAAAATAATTATGCATGAATTATCCATGAATTCATGCAAATCATTTAGAACTTTGGGACCCAGGAGAATTGATATAATGATGGGCTTGTAAAAGCCCATAATCATTGATTTAAAAAACAGACCGCTCAGCTCCTAGGCGGTAAAACTAGGTGGTCTGTCCCGCCCAGAGGCAGAAAAAATGATTTTTTCTATTTTTCGTTTTGTTATTTTGAAAGATTTAAAGGATAAGAATGCTGGCTTTTAGGTTCATTGGAACCCTAAACCCACAAGAAGCCCCTTTAGACTAAAAAAAACCTCCAAAAAACTACATTTCATTGGATCGATCATCGAAACATCGAAGTGTTTCTCAAAGTTTTGGAGTTCAAGCAACCAAAGTAAGTGTATTTTTTAGATTGCTTGCTTTATTTTGAGATGTCTTCTTCAGGAGTTAGTCAAAGTGGAGATCCGGGGTTGGAAATATGGATACAACCCGAAACCAAATGACAAAAATTGCATTAGATGCATATTTTGTGAAAAAGATACAAAATGAGGCATAAACCGGTTTAAGAAACATCTTACCTGTATTAAGGCGGATGTTGGCCCTTGTAAAAATGGTCCTGAAGCTATCAGAGAGGAGATTAAGCAATTTTTAAGTTATGTAAAACAAAAATAAGATCAAAATCCTTGTCATAGATCTATTTCTACTACTCCTAGAAAAAGTGATCCGGGTTGGAAGTATGGATATAACCCAAAACCAAATGATAAAAATTGTATAAGGTGTGAAAAAGATACCAATGGGGGTACTAGCCGATTCAAAAAACACCTTGTTGGTGTTAGAAGTAATGTTGCATCTTGTACAAAGGTTCTTGAAGCAGTTCGAGATAAGATTAGACATCTTTTGAATTTTGAAGAACCAAAAACGGATGAAAATAAGCCTTGTTCTATGGAAGTATCTTCTCCAGCTTCTAGTCGTCGAAGTGGTGATCCGGGTTGGAAGTATGGCTATATCCCGAATCCAAGTGATAAAAATTGTATTAAATGTACTTATTGTGGAAATGATACTAATGAGGCATTTACCGGTTTAAAAAACATCTTGCTGGTATTACGGGGGATGTTGCCCCGTGTAAAAATGTTCCTGAGGCTAACAAGGAGGAAATTATACAATATTTGAGTTCAGAGAAGCACAAAAAGAAGGGTACAACAACCAAGACTCTTAGGGCCTCATCTGCACAGACTATACGTACTAGTACAAGGAAGGTAGAAGAAGAGGAGGAGGAAGAGGCAGATTCAGAAGAACAAAGGAGGATGAACGTTATATTGAAGTGGGCGATGACTCTGATGATGATGGCCTCGACTCTGATGAATATGATGAGGCTTGCGCTATTGATATTCCTTCTGATGATGATGATGATTGAAGACTCTTGTCTTTTGGTGCTGAGTATTGAATGTTGAGTCTATTGATTGTTGTGTTGAGTCTGTTGACTGTTGACTTTTGTTAGACTATATAGTCTAGTCTTGAGTCTGTTGACTGTTGTGTTGACTTTTGTTAGACTGTATATTTTCTAAATTTCTGTATATTTCTGTTGTGTTGGGTGTTGACTTTTATATCACTGGTATGGTTTTACTTTTACAGTTTACTGTTTTAACAATATGGATTATCCAAATTCTCTTCTCGACTTCTATTTTTTTTTCAAGTTGGATTGTTGGAATATGGTATATTGGGACAATGGGATTTTTATTTTTTTTCAACTGGGCAGCAGCCCAGGTGCTGGGCACCTAGGCTCTAGGCGGCCTGGACCCCCCAAGCCGCCTAGGACTCGCTTAGCGCTTTTTGATACATTGCCCCATAATTATTATTTGACATAAGGGGGTTATAATATACTTATCCAGTCATAATCTAGGGCATCTTACGGTCCATACCATCTATCATCTCTAACTTAAACAACAAGGATGTTGTTTAGGGCCAGTATGAAACCCATGCCAAAATGTGTTTGGGCATTGTTGGTGCAATATTTTAAGTGTGCGGTTTGTATAAAGCCAAGGCTCTAAACAATCAAAGTAAAGTGCACCTTCAACTAGTGTCGAGAAATTTGGTTTCAATACTGGAAATCTTTGTGATAGCCTTAAAATATATTTTCACCTCTAATTATAAATTTTAAAGCTTCAAAAATAGTGTAGTTCTAGTAGATCTATGAAAACTTGAAAATCTTGAAAATTGAGGGTCCAAAAATACATTACAAGATGCACTATTTCCAAAACTTGAAATCCATTTTTTTCTCGTGTCCATGCATCTTGAGGTCGAGATGATCAATTTGAGGATATTTGAGCATCAAAACAACTTCTTCTAATGACATTTTTGAGGTGAGCCCTAATTTGTTTGTTTAGAGCCTCACACTTATATAAACGTTTTCCATATTTTAAAGATTGTCGCATTTGTGCTTCAAACTGTCACTTTTGGATACCATTTCAAAATGCGTGCCTGGTGGACATGTAAAATGGCACACTTTTATGTCTAGGATAAAACAAATTTTTCTATCCCTCTTGTAAAAATCATGTTTTGATGTCTACAAACAAGTAAATGACCAAATTGTGAGTCAGTATCAAAAAACTGGCCCTTATCTTTGGTTTTGATATAAAATCAAAGTGACAAGTATTTATTCTTATTCACCATTTACTCTCATTTGTTCATTTCTCCCTCTTGTTTTGTAGTGTTTGTTGCAAACTGCATTCCAACAACTTCTGTACATGTTATAAAGCTGATAATGCCTAGTGAGGCACTCTTGATATTCTTCATGGGAACTTGCTCCTTTAATTTGACAAATCTAATTATATCCGAAATATAGAACAAAACAAGGCTGACCCACTAGTCAATTATACTCAGTGTTTCAAAAAGCGCTAGGTGGGTCCTAGGCGGATTGGGGGGTCCAGGCCGCCCAGCGCCTAGGCGGGCGCCCAGAACCTGGGCGACACAGTTGAATCCAAATAAGGATTCTGCAGTTATTTGAGTATTAAACTATCAGTTATATTCAAATTATACTACATATTAGCATGCAGCACACATTCCATAAGTATAACCATAATCCATAAGTTGGTTCATACTCCATAATCCATATCCAATTAAAACTTAAAATATTCCAACCAACCAAATTATAAAACTATGAAAGTAATACTTGAAGACTCAAAAGAATCTTCAATAGTTCAAATGTTCAATACACAATACTTCAATCAAAGTTTAAACTTCAAAGTAACAAAGTTTAATAATTATTCAACAATCAACATTCATTCATCATCAGAAAATCTTGAGTTAGTTGCATTGACATCGTATTCATCAGAGTCGATGGAGTTGTCACCCTCCTCGACATATTGCGACTCGTCTTCCTCTGTCTCTTGTGAATCTGCCTCTCCTTCCTCCTCTTCTTCCTCTTCTTCCTCCACCCTTGTTCTCTGTGTAGAAGCTCTAGTGGCCCTAGGAGGGTCAGCTGATGTCCCTAAAGCATCCATGGCCATGTCCCATGTCAATCCTTCATACCCCTTGACCTCATCATCATCAACTAACCACTCCATAGCATTGTCCATATTTTTTTATTTGATGGGATCTCTATTATCTCTCTTTAGCAAATCTGTCCTTCAATCATCGATTGTACTTAACATAGACAAGGTCATTAAGCTTTTTTTATTCAAGCTTGTTCCTTTTCTTTGTATGATCCTAACAAAATAAAATGAAAGTGCATGTATTATTTACAAAATTATACAAATTACCCTTATGGCCTTAACCCTTCAAAGGTACTCCAATTGCGCTCACAACCGGATGAAGAAGTGGTTAGGTTTAAGATCTGAATGACCAACTTTTGTAAATTTGGAGAACTACACCCACGTTGGCACCACCAATGGGTTGCAAAGAAATAAAAAAAATCATAATTCATAAATAAAAAATAGAAATACTTGATTACTTGAACAGTTGAACTTAAGAATATTATTAATATAATAATATTTAATATCTGGATTAATTTTGGTCCTTTGCCTCATTGCCATTGGACTCCCAAAAGACTTTAATGAGCACTTGTAATTTATCAGCTCATCAGCGCATATAATATCCTACATTTTAAGTTCAGGGACTAGCACCTCTACACACTCATTAAATCCATCCATAATTGTATCATTTGTTTGTATATTCTTGTCAAAATAAAACAAATCTGGGTTCAAAAAATAACCAGCTGCATGCAATGGCCGATGTAGCTGCTTATCCCACTTCTCATCAATAATCTCCCAAACAGGCTTGTAGCTTCTTCATCATTGAAATTTTGGGCTCTCTCTCTTTTGCATTTCTCCATAGCATCATATATATAGCCCATAGAAGGCTTGTCACTATCAACCATGCAAAGGACTTTGATAAGAGGAAAAAATACCTTAGGAGCGTCCTTCACCCCTCTCCAAAAAGCCTTAAAAAGTATAATATCTCTCACCTTCTTCTCAACTTGAGCCTTAGACCACTTGCATGCTCTCCACTCATCCGAGATAAACATTTGCCTCAACTGCACTCTCCTCGAATGTATGCTATCTAGGCATACGTGCCAAATCGCAAATCTCGTAACTCCAGGCCTCACAATTTCTTTCTTCTTTGTAAAGGTACACATCATGCTGAGGGTGATATGGTGGCTATAAATGAAATTCGTAACATACTTGGCCTTCTTCATTGCACCTGATATCTCGGTTAAACCGCCAAGAGCCTCAAGCATGAGGTCTATACAATGTGCTGCACATGGTGCCCAAAAGATTCTAGGATAAGCTATGCAC